TACCAGGTAACAAAACATGTTTATCTTTACAATCATTACATTGTCTATATGTCTTTGATTTTGAGTTACAAATAACAGAACTTGTGAAATTTTGTGAGCTTGATGTTGGCAAAATTTTCAAAGAAGCTAACTTTTGTAACATAAAATCAAAATTGGCATGTGTTTTGCACAAACAAGTATCACGCCCTGACATTTTGCGTTTAACAACCCAGAAAAGATGTAGTTTATAAAAGGTTGAACGTGAAATTTTTATGGATATATCTGTTACAAATTTTGAGTATAAACTATCTACCGTATCTTGCAAATATCTTTTTCGCATTATCTTACCAGATTTCTTGATTGTTTCTTTCTTCCCTGATGCCGGAGCAGAGTTCTCATCTTTTTCAAAAAATGATTGGACAATATTTTTTACTTTAGAATGGAAACTTGTTTTTTTTAATATTATTTAGATTTGAAAATATGTTCGTAGACTTCATACATTTTCTTTGCAAGTAGCTATAATATCAAAATTGTTATTAAAATAATTTAAACAAATGACAATAAATTATTATTTAACAATTATTAATCATTTAAAGTAATACAAAAAAATCTGCGCGCTCCCCCTTCGGGGTAGCGGACACATTCTCATCCGCGCTTCGCGCGGGGGGGCTCGCTGCGCTCGCGGGTTTGAGCGCGCCTTGGGGCGCGAAGAGCACTCCGTCGCGCTACGCGCTCCAAATGTTATGCTGACTCTACATTTAATATTATATTATAATATTTTAATATAAAAATTATATACAATAATTTTATTATTATTATATAGGATTAATTTTCTTAAAGTTCTTCGACTTTAAGGAGAACATTCTCATCATGGCACTCGCGTTTCACGCTCGAATGTATGATGCGGAATTAGAAGTGTTTTTGAGTATTTGGATTTTTTATTATTTAAATATATGAAACATTTGAGCAAACGAATACATTTAAGGGGTTAGTATCTCATCTCCATTATTTTTTTCAAATAGTTTTTTTAATTAAACAATTTATTTTATTTACTTCAAGCTTGTTATACATAAAAGTAAGGGTTATATATACTATTCCCAGTTGAAAAATCTTGTACAATATCATGTACATTTTTTTGTTCAAGTTCAAGTACTTGCACATTCGCGTGATCTTGTACAAGAGCAGAAAACAAACCTGTAAAAAGAATTGGAACAAAGTACATGAACCTTTACAGGTACATGCAAGTGTATTTGTTTGCGACTTTGTGACTGTTGTGTGTGCAAAATTGCAAAACTATTTGTTTCGATTTATAAAAGTTATTTTGTCAACAACATTTTATGTCTATATACGTACGTACATACATACATACATACATACAGACACACAGACAGACACTTTCGCCGGACCATGTTTTTTCGACTCAGGGCACCTCAAAACGTAAAGATTTCATGGAAATAGTAAAAGTCAATTTTCGACCAATTATAATACCTTCTCATGTGATGAGAATGTAAAAATAAATGCTTTTTTCATTAAAATCTTAAAAACGTAAAGAGATAGAGAATAATGTTTAATGGGAAAGTTGTAGCTGATAAAATTTTGAAGAAAAAAGTCTCTGGGGTCATTATGCCAAGATAAATACATTACAAGATAATTGAATCAGAAATTCTGATTTTTGTGTAAAAAAATATAAATAATATGTATATAGAGTGGTTTTTTTCTAAATTGATATTTTTTTCACTTGTATCATATTTTCTGAGTCTATTATGATGAGAATGTGTCTATTTTATGGACTGATTTTTTTCACCCCATTAATAAAATTAAATTTTTCATAAAAAAAGTTTTTTTTGGCGTTTTTTAGGTGTTTTTCGCCAATTAAACCACTGTAACTTTTACAATTTTAATTTAATCAAAAAATTTTATTTAAAAAAAATGTTTTCTTTTTCCTGGACTGTAATGCTGTGTAGTGAAAAAAATTTTTTTTTTAAAAAAATTAAATTTCAAAATTTTGAAAATCCCGCAGTTTTTGCATTTTTTGATGAAAAAGGCTGGCTAACGAACTTAACCTGTATTTTAATACTAACTTTGTGTATGCAAAATTGCAAAACGATTTGTTTCGATTTACAAAAGTTATTGTGTCAACAACATTTTGTGTCTACATACGTACATACGTACATACATACATACATACATACATACATACAGACACACAGACAGACACTTTCGCCGGACCATGTTTTTTCGACTCAGGGCACCTCAAAACGTAAAGATTTCATGGAAATAGTAAAAGTCAATTTTCGACCAATTATAATACCTTCTCATGTGATGAGAATGTAAAAATATTGTTAACAATAAATACTTAATTTTTTATATTTTACATAATATAAATAATTGTTTTTTAACTCTTTTATACCCAAATTAATTTAAGATAACCTAAAATTTTTTAAAGGCTGTACAAATAATGATAGGATTTTTTTTCTTATATAAGAAAAAGAAAATCCTTAATTTTGTAATTTTAAAAAATCATTATTTACTGAAAAAAAATTTTCTGCAAGTTCATTAATTTTCAATAGGTAAAAACATTTTCTTTATTAATTAAAAAAAAACGGAAAAGTTGTTTTTTAATTTTTTAAAAATTATTTATTAATTATAATGCGTTAATTAGGTACAAAATTCATTTATCATTTATTAAATGCTGATATCAATAAAGCTATAGGCCTAAATTGTGGCCCGACATCTATCGGAACTTTCGCGCGGCAATCGTGTTGCAGATAATATCGATCCCCATTTCACAACACAGCTACATAACCGGTAAAATCACACATTGTAAAATACACTATGAAAAATTAAACAATTATAAGCTTTTTTAACACTAAATAAGGGCGAAAATTACTACAATTAATATTATAAGTAATAATTTATTGACAAAAATTATTATTTATCTTTTTGTTTTTCACTTTTATATCATTTTTTTAACAATTTATCGATAAATTTTCACTCTAAGCGAATTTAAGCGAAGTTAAGCGATTTCTAAGCGAAATCGCTCAAAATACGCTTGAACCAATCCGCCAGGGCTATGCGACAAAATTTTAAAAAAGTTTTGTTTAAGTGACTTTCTTGATTGTTTTCCTTAAACCTACATAAAATATGCCAAAAAATCCATATCATTATCTACATTATTAAACTTTACATTAAACAAAAACGCTTATAAGCGTTTTTGTTTAATGTAAAGTTTTGTGATTTTTGCAGTTTTTGGTGTTTAATTAATAGGTTTCAGCTATTAGTTTACGAATAATAAAATTAATTAATTTAAACATAATTTTTTATTTGAATTCGCTTGAAATTTGCTACTCGGGGATTTTAGGGTTGCTGATTACGAAAATAAAGTATAATTTTGAAAATTCAAAACAGCGGATTCAGTATGTCAACCAAAAAATTTTTTTATTAGCCATATTAGATCTGCCACTTTAAATTTTGAAAAACTGACTTCGGATTCGAAATCAGCGAGCCCTAAAACCCTTGTGTAGCAAATCTCAAGGGAATTTATTAGTTTTTAAAAAATTTTATTTTTAGCCTTCTTCCCCCTCTAAAAGTGTAACTTCCACCCTTAGAGTCGAAACTTTGCCGATTTAAAAAAATTGCTTTTCTTTTATAGTTCTATGACATTTTTGGACTTTCATTCAATTTAGTGAGTATCACGTGAACAGTTTTATTTCTGAGAAACCGCTTTTCGCCATTAAAGGATAGGGAAAATGTTGTGTAGCAATGAACATAAAAGACTAATTCACAAACTTATTTACAGAATCTGATTAACAGATATAAAAAATGAAAAAAATAATTAAAAAAACGAAAAAATCTTTTATAGTATGTAGTTCTAAGACTTTGAAATATGCTAAAATACGTGTTTTTGAGACCTTAAAACGCATACAAAAAATAAAAGGGTAGTAATATCAACAAATTCATTAAATGGTATTCTTATTTTAATTATACTTTAAGCGAAAAAAACAAAAAAATTAACTTAAACATTTTTTTATCGCATAGTGTTTTTTTGTTGTACTGTGATTATTATAATTTTTATTTTTCTTATTAAAAAATATAGTGTTAAATTGTATTTTCACATTTAAAAATTCAGATTAACGTCTATATATATTTTTTTTCAATTTCGTTCCATATAATTTTTTATGATATATCAGAAATTCAAATTGTTACATTTTTTTGGATGAAGTTGTATTATATAGCCTTCTGGAACGATTTTCTATGAAATACTTTATTTAAAAAAATGCTATAAAGGACTTTTTCATCCAATAGTGTATAATGAAGATACCTATTTCGTTTTTATTTAATACAAATATTTCACAAAATATACATATTTTTATGTATACTTTTTCAAAGACTTACTGTAAGAACTAAGCATTTGTTCAAAGATATATAAAAATTATCAGCCTAATTTTTTACTTTTTTCAGAAATTTTATACATATTCATATCAAGAATGTTCCTTTCGTTATCATTATCTCTCAAATTTTTATTATAATTAAAATTTGTTTTACGAAGAAATTTTTTTTAAGCATTAAAGAAGAGAAATAATTATTCTAATGAAATTTATTTTACACTCATTTTTATTCTGTGTATTCTTTATTACAAAATTTCAAATTACACACGGAGAAAAATGGAAAAAGGTATAAAGTAACTTTTACTACTTTAAAAGTAAAACAGAAACTGTCCGCAGTTTCTGCGCATTTCTGTCAATTTTTACTCCAGAAATAGTAAACTTTACTCCAAAACTAGTAAAATTTACTACTGAAATAGTAAAAATTATTCTGGAAATAGTAAATTTTACTATATTTCTGGAGAAAAATTGAATACCCGGATCAAATAAGTCGACCGACGCTCGGACGAACGCTCTATTACCAGTCAAGTAGCAGTGACAGCCTGTGGGTGGCTCACTGCTACCCGACTACCATTAGAGCGTGCGTCCGAGCGTCGGTCGAGTTATTTGATCCGGGTATTCAATTATTAATGAATTTGGAAGTGAACAAATTTAACGGAAATGAGTTTCTAATAAAGTAGCATCTTTTTCCTTTAGTTTCTCCAATTCGTTCATATACTTCTTGTAACATTTGTGTTTTGGAAATTTATCATGAAGAAAAGTCATTTTAACCACTAACATTTCTTTCCAATTATTTTTATCTATTTTCACCTCATCAATGAGAAATTTACTACCCGGTAGAAGAACAGTTTCCCTTTCATGATTGTATCTATCCATTGGTTCCAATTTTGCTCTTAGATATGGTTCGGAAAATTTCATTTCATATAAAATTTTAACATTCTCCATTGAACTGTACTGAAATCTGTATGCAATGTGTCTCATTGTCGTTGCAGATGTAAATCGATTTAATTCTAGTTCTTTACCCGATTGAAACAATTTGTCAACTACTTCCTGAGGTCTAGTTTCACCACGATAGAGAATTTTTGCAAATTCTTTAATAGGATCCTCTGCTTGTCTAATGGCCAATCGATATAATGCTGCTCGCATTGATCTCGCTTCTATTGTATTTTCATCCATTCTACTGTAACCACTGCCCATGTAATTGTGTATTGCAGCAAAATCCTCAAAAGTTACGGATTCATAGGCTTTTTGTGCTTCGAAAGTATGTAGCAAAACTGATGTCCCAGTCGCTGGATATTCTTGGAAATAAATTGATTTCAATCTCTCGTATGCTTCATTGTAAGTTGTTTGTTTCTTGTCCATACTATCCGAGTATATTATGTGTTGAAAATAATTATGATCCTGTATTTTGTATTCCTTACTCCAAGCTGGTAAACCCGTGTGACCATTTTGGATCATTTCTCTCCAATCCTTAACGAATTGCAATTGTTTCTCACCTGTACCTGGAAATACATACTTTCTTAGTTCCTTTAGTACAACATCTTCCGAAAGTACTCCATATTCTCGAACGTAATCTAATGCCGCTTTCTCAATTTTTTCCCGTTTATCCTTTAGAGTATTTCTCATACAAAGATATTCCGTCGGAGTTCTTCGAATCCGCTTTCCACACTGCTCACTATCATGAAAACTATTTATTACAAATTCAGAATTTTCATTCTCCATATGCTCGTTTTTAACATGCAGCACCTTTTTTCTTATTTTACCCTTTTTCATATCCAAAGCCATACAAAGATTCCTCTCACCGGAAATTAGTTGAACCACCATTTCCCTATTTCCCTCTTCCTCAATTTGCCTAATCTGAAGAACTCGTTCATCAGTATACTCAATGTATTTATAACCATAGCCAGAATTTTTTTTCGACAAAGAATTTACATAGACATCCATTTCGGAGAATTTGTTATTAATTTTAGTAAATGTATTCAAAATTTTTTCCTCACATTTTCGTAACATTGTCCTCAATGAGTCGAACGAGAGGGAATATTTTCTTAGTTCCGTTATTAAATTTCTCATCACCCTCACTCCTCCTCGGCCAATGTCGTAAATAAGTTCAAACCCCGGATCAACGTAACGAAATAGTGAAATACCAAAACCTTTAAATGTTTCCTTAGTAAATAATTCGGAAAAATTTACTGCCTCGTTTGCTATAACTTCACCAATTTTTTCTAAAGTTGTACGCATACTTTCTCTGAGTGTAAATGAAGCAAATGTAGTACCTGCTATTGATAGCAAAGATCTCGTTGTAACTGTTGTAAATTTTTCGAGAATTAGCTCTAGGTCGCCTATAAATGGTATCATTGATACCACATCAAGTAGACATGATGATAATTCATTGTCATTATTCGTTTGAAATCCATCAACACATGTGTAAAATGGGATGAGTGATAATCCAAAATCTTCCCACCATTCCTGTTTTGTCTCATCATATCCCTCGTTTCTAAGACTTTTATTAAAATTCCCAGCTCTTTCCTTAGCGATTTTAATTATAAAATCATCAAAATTTTCCTGTACTTCTTTTTCTACGCTTGTCATTAGATAATCTGGAAATATCATCGTAGTTGGCATTCCTAATTTTTGACGAAAATCATTAGCAGTACACTGTATAACCGAACATTGTGGAATTACGATTTTATTTGGTGTAGAATTAACACTAACTGTATCATTAGTATTCGAAGTATTAGTAGAAGGATTACAAGTAAAACTAATTTTATCGTTAGCTTGTTGAATTGCTGTAAATTTCTTATCATCACGAATTAAAGCATAAAAAACAGTGGTATTAGTTTCAGGAAAGTAGAATTTAAAAAAATCATCACTTTTCTTAACATATTGTATTTGTCTTACCGTATAACCTTCTAAATAATCGTCAATTAATCCTCTGTAGATTTTAACTTTTTGATTGTTCATTGATTTTATAAAATCTTCACCAAAAGCATCTATAATTGATTTCTTTTGGTAAATAAAGTATTTATTTGTTATTTTATTCACTTCTTCTTGGTAAAGAAGATTTAAATCAGCTAATATTTGAATCTTCTTTGTCCATATTCCAGTATTACATTGATAAGCATCAGGATTGTTTTTGTAATTTGTGACCTCATCTTCCAAATCTTCTTTTTTAATCAAGAGACATCTACTTCTAATAATTTCTCTAGCAAGTGTTGTACGATTTTTAAAATTTGCTCTAGCCAAATAAAATTGATATCGATAGTCATTTTTTTTAGCGTTTTTCAATTCTTCAAATTTATTATTTAGATATGTAAATAACATATTGTAGGCTTCGGCACCTAAGGTCGAATTCATCATAATTTTTTCCGTACTTACATTTTTAAGCACCTCTTTTTGAGTGGAAATGTAAAAAAAGAGTGAAGGAAGTGTAAAAATTGCCATAACTTTGATTTCCAGTTTTCCAGCGATTACTAATTGTTCTATAGCATGTGCTATGGTTACAAATTCATTAAATTTAGCACTAGGATTAATTAGATCCTTATGATTGTATACTGTTGGTACAATTAACGGTGATGGATTTTGTGACAAATGAAACATTGCACCAGCTTGAGCATAAATATAATCAATTGATAGTAAATTAATGTTAGTTGTTATTTTTGGAAACAGGGGGTAAATAAAATCTTGTTGAATTTTAAATATTGAAATTATTTCTAATTTTGAATATTCTCCATTTTCATTAAGAAATATTTCTTCTGTTAATGTGGTAAAAATATTTTCGTTTATTGTCTTTATTTCTAAATCCTTGGAATTGCGAACAATTTCTACGAGAAATCCATAAATATTTTTATATTTTTCAAACACAAGTGTTGTAATTATATGTCTAAATAGTGAATCAACAAAAATTGGATCTGGAATTTCATTTTCTTTTGCACCATAAAGATCTGTGCCTCTTATTAATTTGCGAGCCAAACGTATTTTTCGTTCTTCAATAACATTTTTTTGTTTTCTGCCAGTATTGTAGAGAAAATAATGATATAAACTATTTACCACTGGAATTGGTTGATATTGATTATTAATATTTAATAAATTTTTCCCCACTAAAAAATCGCTGAGAGTTGTTAAATAACTGAACATTGAAATTGTTTGCACAGCTTGCATAGGTGTCGTAAAATTTGTCATCTCCATTTTTTAATTTATAAATTCATAAATCTGTTAAATAAACGTTTTTTAAAATTTAAATATCTAAAATCACGGTGGTCCATAACACACTTTAACCCAAAAGTTCTTTCACTGTAAAATTTTTTTCATATATTGAATCTGGACACTTTTCTGAGTATTTTGCAAAAAAATTAAATATCTTTTATCGAGCCGTTTTTGAAAAAATTGATTTTTTAGGTTAAAAAACTATTCAAGCTGTCTTCATATTTTTATTTGGGATAATAGTGATACTCAGAAAAGTGTCCAGATTCAAAATATGAAATAAATTTTACAGTGAAACTTATGGATTAAAGTGTGTTAAGGACCACTGTGAAATCTGTGTTTTGCATTTTATTAACTATAAATTACTCCAATTCTACTAAATTAAAAATTATTTTTAATTTAGTAGATTTTGAGCAATTTTATTATTTTTCTTAAATATTAATTTAAAAAATTTTAGATTTACAAAAAATAAATTAAAACATACCTTTTTGATTAAAAGTGAAAAAACTTTTATATGCAGAAATTTTTTCTATGTTATTTTGAATAGATTATTTTTTTGGGTACACACTTTTCGACGACTTCTAGGTAACTGAATTTTATATCTAAATATGTCACAATCGACATTGCCTTTTATATTATAAAAGTAGTCGTAAATATTTGAATTTTTAGACAAATATTTTGTTATTAATTACTTATAGATATCGAAAGGAAATTTTTAGAACACATTTTTCAAACCTATAAAAAATTTGAAAATTTCAAATTGACCATTGACAATTGAAAAATTATTCTTTAGTAAAATTTCCAGTATTTTTTCCACATTGCAAATTTGAATAATTGCAATCGCACGATTCTCAATAAAAATGTGTTGTAGATAACCATTTTTAAAAAATTATTTATTTAATGGAATATTGAGATCCGTTTTCTCCAAAACACGTGTGTTTGTATAGATGGATCGTAACAAAAAAAGTATTAGCTAATGTTGACAAAATATTTTAATGTGAATAGAATATAATTAATAAAATTTTTAATTCCATCCGCTATTTTCGTACACGTGTAATTCTTGTAATAATTGTAATTTTTTGTAGAAAAGTATACATTTTCTTGTATACAAATATTAAATATATTTGTTTTGTAATTTTGTATTTTACTGATAAATATATATAGTTATCAGTAAAATACAAAATTAATTAATTTCTGTAATTAAATTTTTATAATTTTAATTTTATAATATTTTAATTTTTGCACGTGAAAAATTTTATTTTCTATAATTACATTTTCATAATTATAAAATTGTAATGATTTCATTACAGAGTCTCTAATAATTATATTTTTATAATTATTTGAGAAAAAAAATTTTATAATGAATTTCTTATAAAAAATTACCTATAATCGCGAAAATATTATACTGAAAACATTTCAGCTTTAACATTATTTTCTAATAAGGAATTTTCATAAGGGAAGTTCTCGTACAAGAACTTGTTCCAAATTCTGGTGCCGAAATTGTACAAGATCGTGTACATGTTCTCACCAGAACAGGTACAAGTTCAGCTGCTGAACATGTACATTTCCTTGTACAGGGATTTTCAATAGGGCCTTTATTACAAATGTAAGGAATTATGAAGTGGACAAATTTTAATTGAAAATAGCAACAAACAAATTTTTTATAATATTGAAATATTTATTTCTGTACTATTTGCAGAATTATTAACATACAATTTTATGTTTGATTTCATTTATTTAATTATTTATTTGCATATGTAATATACACACACCCAGAGAAATGATGTATTTGTCTCAGAGCCTAATAAATATTTATTTTATTGAAATTGTAATTGGCGGAACACTTTCAATACGAAATGTACCGGTAGAAGCACCGTTTCCCTCTCTGAATTACTCAATGAAATTTTTTGCATATTTGCCCTTAAATATTGTTGAGAAAATTTCATCTCATACAAAACACGAATATTATCATCGACCCAGATTCGTGTTCAGCGCGCAAAATGCCTTCGGAAACACATGGAGCCATCTTATTTGCGCAAAAAAAGTCCAAATTTGCAGGGCTGTGTTATTCAACTATTATTACATAAAATATTAGAAAATTAAGTAACCAGATGATTTAACAATAATGAAATGATATAATTTAAATTATTTTATAAAAATATTCTATTAAATTTAACAAAATGTTTTGAAGGGGATTTTCTGGTTTAGAATTGACAAAAAAGACACGTTCTAAAACTTTTATTGTAAGAAAAGTATTAATGAAATTGCAATAATTTTTTTTTGGACATTGTTGAACATTACGTAGAGAAAATTAAAAAATATATGTTTTAGTGTGTATAGTTCAATTTCGTAGCTGTGGGTGGCGTCTTCAAAAGGTACCTCTTTTTTGGTGCACTTGATTCCGGACAACGAGTAATATTAAAATTCAAAATTCAAACGGGAATCTCATCATAAAGGTTTATTCTAGACCCACATGGGAATATGTAGTAGTTATTTTTTTTAAAATATGAGACATATTTTAGGTTTTAAACACAAAATATTTTTGCTTTATATAAAATGAACTCAAAATTTTGTCCGATTTTGCGTATCTCTTACGCTAATAAAATTTCTAATTAAATAAGTTTAGTATGTTCACTTGCGTTAAAAAATATATTTATTATTATTATATAAATTATATTTTTAATTAAATTAGTTTCGCTAAAGTCGAAAAGTAAATGCGAATAGAAAAAAAATTTTAAAATGGGGCAATCAAATAATAACTACTGTCCTGTATAAATTGAAAACATTTCATAAAATCTAATTTTTGTTCTACAATCATAACATGTTTTCGATTTATTAACCAAAATATATCTTTAATTTATTGTCGAAAGTTTATTAAATAGTTGGTCATTTATCGCACATCAATTTTTTGTAACATAATTTAAAAGGATTGCAACAGCAATAGAAAAATTGTGTTGAAGTAATCGAGTTTAAATAATAAAAATTTGCGAATTTTCATTTTATACTTGTTAAAAAAATAATCTTTAATTACAAAACAAAACAAATGCCATATTAATGAAATTTTAATTCTTAATTTCATTATGTTGTCACGTCACCGTAACTTTAATATTCATATTATAAGAATTCTTAAATCTATACCGAGTTGCGTTTTTCTTGCAACAAACACCCGTGTTTTTGTTACGCATCTAAATACTTTTCTCTTAAATGTTAAATTTCCACCCTTTTTTCGCGCAACTAAACATCTTTCTTTTATATATAAAAGACCCCTGCGTTTTGTATCCTTCTACGTCTATATACTATATTTCTAAAACATGCAAATAGAAGCGAGAAATCTTTTATGACACTAGAACAGCTCACACCCCCACAAAACAAAATGCTCTCTTTCTAATTTTCCCTATGTGCTAAAATTAGACGATGTAATAAATGCTCTCTTTCTAATTTTCCTATGTGACAAACCCCTGTGGTATCGCCACATTAAAAGACCATAAACACTCTTCTACAGCTGCGAATAACCGTAGTCGTACTCTTTCTATCTTGTATTAGAATGGTTCACACCCCCCTTTTTTACGACTCAACTTTGGCTTCCAAAATAAGGGTGAAAAATATATAGTACGACAATAAAATTTTAACTATTCTCTTACGAAAAATCAGTATAAAAGGACTACATTTTCACGGAGAGATCAGTTCTGAAATCATCTTCATACGTATATCATCAAGCTCATTTTTGGTACCAGTTGACGTCTTCTAGTTCAAGTGCATAATTTTCTTATACGAAAGTTAAAATCAAGTGTGAAAACCCTCTACATTAAACGAGGATCTTTACTTCTCATTATATTGGGCAATTATCCATTCTTCCTTTATTTGGAAGAGACTCATTATTGGGAGTTTCATCACGCCTAATAGAACTCCGGACCTGCGGTTATACCTGGGCCCGTCAACCTACCTGACGTTATAAACTCACGGTGGTACCAACAAAGGACACAGCAGTGGTCCTTTTTCTTTCAACACACCTACTACTGACTTTTAAGGTAAGTGTTTTATATTCTCACTCCTAACTTTTCTAAACTTGTCGTTTATTTGTAGTAACCATTGCATTCCTTATTTCAGTTGAATGCTGAACTCTATTTCCTGGATTGGTTGGTTCGAGATTCCCTCTCTCTCATAAGAACGAATTGTTGTAACTAAAAATACTTGTCTAAATAAATTGTAACCTAATTATAAAATTAATCACTATTCTTTTTCTTTCCTGTACCCTTAGTTCAGAGCCTTCTGCTCTGTAAATGAAACAGGAATTCACTGAATCACCGAGCGGCCATAAATAAAATAAAGTAATATTTCGTTAGTTATTTCTCTATTTGAGACGTAACAATGTAAATTATGTGCAACGACTAAAACAATTTTCAACATCATTTAAACTCTAAAGAATGCCACTTTCGCATAATCGAGAAAAGTTTCACAAAAAGAAGATTCAACAATGAAAGACTGTAGACACATGAAATCAAGGTGCTGCAATAGGTACCGACCAATTTGACAGTGCGAGGCACACTGAATTATTGTAGTGTCACTGTATTTCGTTATAATGACACTGTAATTCTCTATGCCGACACAGTAAAATCCTGTGTCTACACTGCTTTTCACTGTGCATCGGCAGACTGTTTCAAAGTGTAAGATCTGGCACAGTCTTTCGTTGTTGAATCTTCTTTCCATGTTCCTTATTTGTCAATGAATTTAATAAAAGAAAAAAATCGAAAATCGATTACTTCGGTTTTGAGAAAATTCACTTTTTAGACTAAATTTTAATTTTTCAAATGTTTCCCTTTAATTAACGTTATTTTTTAATTACATATTTGAAATGTTCAAGAAAAAAAGAATAATTTTCATATATTATTTTATTTTTAATCTTCAAGTAAAAAAGAGAAAAATGCGTTTCAAAAGTCACCTACTTCTGAAATGGCAAACTTGAAAAAAATCATAACTTTTGTAATTTTCACCAAATAAAAAACACCTTTTTTTCTTATATAGAATTCGAAAAAAATTGTTTCAGTCCAACAAAAATTTGGGAAAATAGTAAAAAATTATGAAAAATAGTAAAAAAAAGCAAAAAATTTTAATTATCAATATTTAAACATTCTTGTAGGAAAAAACCTCAGCTTTCAATTAAAAAAAATTGTACCATTTACCCAAAAAAAGTGAAATTTATTTTTGAATTTCAATTTTTTTGACAAAAATTTTTTTTTAAAAAAATGCATACCAACCGAAAGAGCTTCAAAGAAGCTTTCGAAACTGATATAGATAAAAAAATTTTATTTTGATATTTAAGACAAAAAATTTTTAAAACATGCGGTGTAACGTAAAACCCAAAAACTTTCATCCCCTCCCCCTCGGAAACTATTGGACTAAATGAAAAAATATTTTTACCAAAGATTAACATCTATGAGTACTACAAATGCCCCGAGTTTAAGCGTGATCGGAGAAAAAAAATTTTGAAACTTTAGCATTTCACGTGTGATCCCTCATTTATGTAAACGTAGCGATTTTGACCACGCTCTTCGTCCGTATATTCTTATACGTAAGAAATTCTTCTCTGCACTTCCCGCATGTAAGCATTTTTTATACACCCTTTTCCCCTTATATGTCTTCACGGAATTCATTCACGATTTTTAACACATTATTTGCTGTATATTTTTAAAAAATTAACTATCTGCATTATATATATATATATATATATATGTTATTGTACATACTATATGTTTATCTTTCTTAAAAAAAGTACAATCAGATTTATAGATAGAAGAAACTTTGTTTACTTTATACCGTATGTCATATTTATTAATTTTAT